TGTTCAAATAAAAAAGATCTTTAGTCTCAAAAGAAATAACGAATTGGGAACTCGAAAACACTTTAATAATTTTTATTACTTTAAGTATAGAATTCTGTTCATACAGAATTATTTATTTCTTTGTCACCAACTGTGTTTTAGAGTTTTTAATTTTAATCTTAAAATTGTTTTTTATGAGTGTTCAAAATGAAATTGAGTCTTTGTTAACCATTTCATTGCTTTAAAAAGACATTATTCCGATTCAGCAACGATTATCTAAACAAATTTTGTAAATCTTCTTATGCCTTGATAAAGATGACAAAAGTAACGGAAGATTATAATTTAATCGTATCGAAGTAACTTATGTAAATGCGCATATTTTATTAAATACATTTCATTCATAATATCAAAAACATAAATCGGCGTTAATGAAGATAACGTTTAATTTATTAAAGTTCAGCATTCATGGGTTTGCTCAAATAATGTCAAATTTGTTCAAAACGAAAGAAAAAATTTTCTCTCTCGCATGTGAATTATTTTAATTAAATGAAGTTATTCCGATTCAAAGCTGACATTTAAATGCATTTGTTGCTTCAGTTGGCACAGAAGAATTATTGTCTCCCATACATAACATCTTCTTATCTTATATAACATATTTTATCATCCTACATGCGATATTTTATTCTGCAAACAACCTCCTAACTGCTTTTATTAGTCTGATGATGGAACAAAGAGTGTTTCTGACAGAAACATAACATAAACGACATCATTTTTTTCAGCTTTAATTCAACAATTTTATTTTTAATTTTTCAAATTTATATGAAATTTTCGATCTTTCTCATATTACATTTTCTTTTAAAAAATTAACATCAACTCTTTGCAAAGCAAGGCTCTAAAAATTTCTTTAAAAGAATTAAATGTTCACATTTTACACATCATTAAATTATTTATCAATTTCGTTCAATCGAAATAGTCTCCTGAATTACTCAATACAATTGGACATTGATCTTTAGCAATTTCAATAATAGCAGTTTTGGAGTTTGTCTTTACTTTCAATCCGCGACTGAAAAGATTATATAAATGAATGAGATGTGAATCTTCCAATCTCCCAAGTGTGTTTTCCAAAACTTCAGGATCTTCCGAAAATAACTGCTTCACTTCCTTATAAAAGATTTCGCTACACATTTTTTTTGGTAAAATTGTCACACCAGAACAATTGAATTTTTCTTCAGGAAAAACATTTGGAAATTCACAAAACGTTTTTAAAACTCTGGTGACAAGATTAGGTCCGTTATGTCCCCATCTTCTACCATCATAACTTTCCATGAAATCTCTACAGTAAATAATTTGTTTTTCAATGTATTTACGATATTGAAATTACATTTTTTAATATTTATGATCATACCTTAGCAATGTTTCTGCTAATGTATGTCCAGTTGACATAGAATCAAACCTAATTATAGCATTGTTCAAAGTAGATTTTTCCTCAACAGTGATAAAGTTGTCCTCTCCGATAGTGTTAATCGATGATAAAGAAATAACATCAAGATCTAAATATGTTCCTCCATATCTAAGATTAAAACATAAACTTTACTATTTTCATATTATCATATTTATGAAGAAGTTTTTACTTCCAAAGAAGAAAGAGCCTTAAAAAGTTTGAAATATTATTAGGTATAAATGACGTGTTATAAATTTTTTCACTATTGATCCATTCTTCTGCTATTGTATCTTTCGTAACATCTTTTAAATTGATTCTGTGAAATGCCACATTTTCATAATTTAATAAAGACTTAACAAATTCTGAGATATTTAATTTCAATCTTGACACAAAAATGACACGTATTCTCGAATCGGGATTCATTAAAGCTGCAGATTCGATGCAACAAGAGTCTCGTTTTTTCAAATCACCGATATCACTTGATCCTATTTTAGATCCAGAACTTTCAATGAAGAAAATGTTTTCTGATTTTGACAAATCCGTTTCATCTAACTCATGTAACTGTAAAAAATCGTTGAATTCTTCGGATGGCTTTTCCAGTCGCAATTGAATGAGACCTTCACTATGAACATAAACCATATAGCATAAGCTAAACAAAGTTAATACAAGCACTGATGTTTGTATCCTTTTTGTTAATAAGGAATTTATTCGTTTTTGAATATGCATAATTCTGAATTCTTTTCTTTCACTCAATTTTAATTGAAGGTATAAAGCTGAACTCTGATGAAACACAAGTGACTAGTTGAGAGTAATTTGTTTCTTCATTATACAAGTTTTTTTAAATAAGACAAAAAACGAAGACATTATTGAGGGCAAAATATCTGCCAGAAGCCTTATTCAAAGAAGTGTTTATTAAATTCATGCTCATTAGTCCTCATCGTATTTGTCAAACAAAAGAATGTATCAAATAAAAAAGATCTTTAGTCTCAAAACAAATAACGAATTGGGAACTCGAAAACACTTTAATAATTTTTATTACTTTAAGTATAGAATTCTGTTCATACAGAGTTTTAGAGTTTTTAATTTTAATCTTAAAATTAGTTTTTATGAGTGTTTAAAATGAAATTAAGTTCTGTTAACCATTTCATTGCATCAAAAGGTCATTATTCCGATTCAGCAACGATTACCTAATCAAATTTTGTAAATCTTCTTATACCTTGATAAAGATGACAAAAGTTAGGGAAGATCATAGGTAATTTAATCGTTTCGAAGTAATTTAAACGCATATCATCATCAGAGTAGGGAGTGCACGACTGTACACTAAAGCGATTAAGAATACAGGAATATAAATTCCAACTTGTTTCGCTCCCTTTGTCTCATCACTTGAATGATGAAGGTTCCACTCTCAGTAGCGTTCCACAGGATTGTATATTCCTGAATACTCTTCATTGTTCATATTTGACAAATTTATATTTTTATCAAATTTGATACAAAGAGACATTTCAGTTTATTATATCCTAGTGAAAAATTCCACTTTAAATGAAACAGGGGCGAAGTATCTAAACTTCTGAAAACCTCAGCCCAAGTGACCACCACCGAGAATGGAACCAGGATCGTACCGATTAGTGAATCGATACGAATTCTGATACAAATCCGATGGCACAGACACTTAGGCCAATGAAGCAAATTTGCCCCCTTTAAACACATATATTTTATTAAATACATTTCATTCATAAAATCAAAAACATAAATCGGTGTTTATGAAGATAACTCCTAATTTATTAAAATTCAGCATTAATGGGTTTGCTCAAATAATGTCAAATTTGCTCATAAATAAAAAATTAATTTTCAAAATAAAATATCCGTTAAAACCCACTCGATCAGCGTAATCCATGAAATGTGTCCTTGCTAAGAACTTAGCAAGTATTTTTCAAAATGTGTAAAAGAGTTAAATTTTCATCGAGTTTAGTTTTATATCAAGAAATTCAAATGAATTCGTTGAAAATATTTAAAACAAACAAAGTTTTTTCAATTATGTACAAAATAAGGGGTTGAAAAATTACAAGCTGCTTAAACTTATATGAAATTATTGCATCTGAGTTATCCTCATTCATCATTCACAAGGTGCACCAATGGGCAATGAGCTCAGTCAGATAAGGTGTGTTGCTTAAGAATTTCAAGCTTTTAAAGTAATAATTTCATTAATTTTGAAGAAATATTGAAAATAAGATTAGAACATAATAATGAGCTTATGCTATTGCATATTAGCTAATCTTATGTGTTAACAAACATCGGTAAAAAGGCGATTTCTTAATCATTTAACAATTAAAAAGGAAATTTTGTTCTTATGTCAATACAAAAGCTTCATCAAGTTGGCAGCAGTAGATAAATTTTATATACCTACTTCAGTTCTTATACATTTAAGCTCAACTTTATTCATGTTTCATTTTGTGATGCTATCAAGAACGAAACATCATAAATTATCCCTTCTGTTAACTTTTTGAAGCATTTTCCCTTTTTCGCATCTGAAAACAAAAAGCGAAATTTTCCCACAATGAAAATGCAGAAAGCATAAACTAAAGGTAGAGGAACGAGTGCTGCTTTCAGCAAAATGCATAAGAGAGAAATGATAAATGATGATGATTTGTTGAACAAACAAAGCAATCGCTCTGAATGTGCAGAGATTTGTGAAATTTCACTCCATGAAGGCAAGCATGTAAGAACTTCATCAAAAAGCATATTTTTGAGTATGTTTTAGCTTTGGAAAAGATTTCAGGATGAAACTAATGAATAAATTAAACATTCATCACTTGCAGTTTCAAAACAATGAACAACGCTTTTGGTGAGAATTTTCTTTTCAAAGTTTTTCCTTGTTAACACATCGAAATTTATGTACACACGTTGAATTGTGTTGCGACAATAAAGACTTTTAATTTAAATCATTTAATTAAACAAAAGACGTTGTGCAAGATAATTATGAAGTAAGATTATATGTTGATTCCACCTGAACAAGCTTCGTTCTCACATCATAAAGCAAGCACACACGGGAAGCTGTTCATAGTGAAAGAAAGTTTCTTAAGAAAGCAACAAAAGATAAACTTGGGAAGAAATTATGTCGTATGCAAAAAATCTTTAACCTCTTTAGTGTAAATCACCGAAAAAGGGTAAAAGTTTTAAAACGTTTTAATCATGATTTATGAATTTCGTGTGGATGTGTTCATAGATGTTTGAATAGTTTTACGGTCGACACAAAACTTTTCCCTATCTGTTGGCGGTGAAAATAAATACGGATTTTCTCGAGGAATGTGACTGTAGAAGAGAAAATGGAAATAATAAGTTTCGCAAATAATTTTTACCTCATAAAATATATTTTCCATTTGAATGATTCATTAATAAAGTTCTGATGGTATTTTCAGTGATATGAATGTGCTCGGTTAACATAACTCGAAGCTTTCCTTACGATAACTAAAAGAAAAAAAGCAGGAAATTTATTGCTGTTGAGAGTCTTGTCGGAAACGGAAAAGACTTCGTCGAGAACGCTTTCTTCTGCATTTTCCTCAAGAGATATCGTTTGTTTGAATTGTAAGCGTATTTGAGATTAACGTTTGTAATTAATCACAAACTTGTTTTCAAAATTTTGAGGGTGTTTAGCCATACATATGCTTGGAAATAATTGATGAATATGTCTGATATGTAACTAATCAAAATTACACCTGAACATCCGTCTATCTATCCACTTCTCGTTGTCACCAATAAATCTCTTTGAATTATTTTACTTTAATCTCCACATTCTGGTCAATAAAACATTCCAAGATTTGTGCAATTGATTCTGGTTGTGCTCCTGTCAAATGGTGATGTATTGTGTACAGTTTACGTCTCCAAGCTTTAAATGACCAGCTCCGTTTGCCAACAATATTGTTTGGATTGTGAAGGTGGGGATGTTGGCAATGAAACGATTATTAAGATTGTAAATTGCACGAGACCGTACAACGATAATAAAATTGCCATGTTTCCGAAAATTGTGTAACTTTGCTGTCGCTTTTGTTGCTTTTGCTTCTGTTTGCTTGTTTGTGATTTTTTTTATTTCGAAGTTGCGGTCAGAGCAAATGTACTTAACTGCCTTCGGTATCTCTCTTTTTACTATCCCATTTTACCCCCAAACCAGTTCATATATCTACACAAAGCAACAGTGACAATCGCTATCGAGATATAAGAGAAGAAGTCCAACAATCGAATAAAGAAAATGACACCGCGTGCACGAAATGTTTTCATTTGTTTCCTTTTGCCTCTCTTAACCAAGTTAATTTCTGATGATTGGGATATCTACAACATGAATTGTCATCAGTCGCTTGTGACTTGTGTTGATTATTGCTTGTACAACTTTATATCATCTGTGGATGATGACAATCGCTTGGAGTCATCTTTTCCAACACTTATCAATTAGTCGTTGGGATGATATCGTCATTTACCATTCACTAACAACACACATTGAGACATTAAAAGTCTCTTTTCTCTCTATTACTACTAAAGGGAAGGAGAAAAAAAAAATGCCAGGGAAATTGCTTTAGTGGATTTATTTTTATGATCCAAATGTGCTTAAAGTTGAACGTTTTGTTTCTCTTTCCATCTCTTCTCAAAAAAAAAAAGGGAAAAGAGCGTTTAATTGAAATCATATATAACGAAGGTACATCGACGATGTCTGTATGAAAAGTTTTTATGAGCATAATTGTTGTCTCCAACCCACTCCACTTACTTCTATTATGCTATTGCAATAATCGGTATTTTGTCCCCGAGAAAACATTTCTCCTGTTGTTTCATAATTTTTCGGTGCTTTCGGTAAGAGAACGAGTTCTTTCATCCAATTCTCACTCCCCCAGATAGATACTCATGTGCATCACAGGATAAACAAATTTTTTATGTGCCACTTCAGGTAACAATTTGGATAGTGAGAAATTCACAACGCGATTGGTTATGTGAGAAACGTTCGTGCTATGGGGGAAGCTGTTGAACCATTAAAATGAGACATCTCGCCTCGATTTATTCATTTTTCTGCTTTTATTATTTTATCATTATACGACATTGCACGATGCTAGTTTCACTGCTTCTCCCCAAAACAATTTTAATGTTTTTAAAATATTATTTATAGTCAGATAATTTTCGTTTAAATAACACAAAATTGAATTTATGTTTGAGAAAAGAGCTGAGGTGTTTCGGTTTATGCAAGTCTGTTGGAAACTATTGAACATAAATTCTGTAACAAAACTAAATGTTTAGCTATTTACTAAAACTTATTCTTTGCATTTATTCGTTTGATGTTCTTCATAGTTCTCTTAAAAATAAAGAAACGCTCTTCATGTCAGAATATCGTAAAAGTTAATGTTTTAATTTCATTAAATTTGTATGCGATTTTTAATTGTCTCAATTAGCGAAATGGAATTCTACTGAAGTTTAATTGTACGAACAAAAAGCATTAATGAAGTGAAAAATTTCAGTTTTATTGTAATTGTGCTTGGACATATGCAGCAACAACGATCGAATGTCGCTTGAAGAATCTAAAATCTATAAAAATGTTGTCTATATACATTGTCAAGTCAAGCAGCTATTTAAATAGCAACAGCAGCATTTAAAATTGATTCTAAAATTTAACAAGAAGATTAAACGAAACCACCTGAAGTGAATCATGTTTTGTTTTGTAAATTCTTAATATTTAATGCAAATAAATTGAATCTTTCAACGACGTTAAGCTTGTAGCAGTTATGAATAATTATTTGTTATCACCGACCAACATCTCGTCGAATCGTGAAGTCAATGAGAGTTGCATGACTGCTCAGCTTTCATAATTTATGTTAACAACCAAAGTCATTTGATAAAACGTGCGATAACAAAGTGTCTGCCTTTAACTAGTTGATAGCGAAATTCAATTTATTATCGAGCACCAAGAAGTTTCTTCAAATTCATGAAATCAAACTCACAACATTTGCTGATCAAATCTGCTGCTTAGAAGCAATGAAAGATCGAAGAATCGATAATCATTTTTTGCGCTCGAATTAAAAATCGAATAAGACGAGAACAGAAAAAAATTTAATTTATTATCAGAACTTCCCACAGGAGAGCAATGAAATGAATTCTTAAGAAATATAAATTTCCCTCTGGAACTGATCGAATGATTCGCAATTGATGGTACAAAGTGAAGAGAATTAAAGTTTCGAGAAAAGGAAGAAAAAAAAAACATGTCAAGAATTCTGAAATCACATTTATCAAAATGGATTTATGTGCGCACATCGCATCGCGAATGGAGTAGAAATCTTCAGCGATAAATGTTCGAATTCTTCTTAAGAAGAAAGATAGAAGCGATGGAGGAGAAGAACGTTTTAATTACTGGATCTTTTTTACATTTATCTTACACAAATTCGAACAATAAATAATTCAAATTCATTTCTTAAGAGTCTCGCTTCGTATTTCACATTGCACTGGCATCGTCATTCCAATACAATAATCATACATCGAGCTTCAAATGGCTGTAAATCATTTTATTCGAATTATTCTTCTGTTAGTGTTGTTGATCACTAAATTCCAGATCATAAAACCTGATTTTGAAGGCTTTTAGAAGGAATGGGAGTTGGCTGTGTATCATCATCAGTCGCTGTTTCGTTGGGGCGCATCAACTGAAAGCATCTTCAAGAAGAAAAATAAAAGCAAAAGTTATCAAAACGAGGGAAAAAAAAGAAAAATTAAAGCAATTTTTATAAATCGACTTTATTCAAGCAGTAATAAATTGATTGGCGGACGCTCCTTACTCGTTCCGTATAAATCATAAAAATGTGCTTCTCGGACTGTCTGATTTATTTTCATTTAGTTTTCGCCATAACATGAGGCGAATGAATGGATAATTTGTTTTCCAACTTCAGATATCAGATGATGGTAGAAATGGGCAATTTTTCTTGTTTCGTTCTCCTTTGCAATTATTGCTTCAATCTCATGTTCTTCCACCACATTGTCTTCTTTGACAATGATAAACACTCAATGATGCGTTGTTAATTTTTTTTCTTTTACTGCTTTATGATGATTGTAGTGGAAGCTCACCAGACTCATGATATGTTGTGTTAAATGATTGTGATGATGCCTACGCAACAACATGAAATTTTAAAAACATTTTAAAACATCATTCAAATTATACATTTTTGTTCACCTCATCACATTTTACTTACATTTTACGAGTTTTAATCAAAAAATACGATTATATAATTTAAGCTGAAAATCTTTTAGGATAAAAAAGTGAAAAATTCTTTATCATAAAGATAACTCGCAAATATTTGACAGCAAACAAAGCCATGGAAAAAGAATTTTCCTTTACAGTAAACGTTCTCGAAATTGAAATGAAATTAAACTTGAATTGAGAATTTGTGAATTAGGTAATTTAAATTCAAAAATCATTTGAGATATTAGAAGGTTGAAGATTAATTTATCGACATTTCACTGTATTAAGCATGAATTCATGTTGAAGAATTTTTGAAAGATCCCTTAAATAACTTTTCCGTTCAAGGAAAGAACCGTTGGATTGTATGATGAAAATATGCTTTGTTTGCCTGTTCCGTAAGATGGATACAAGCAGCAGTAAGAAGGCTTTTCAGCTTCAAAATAATGTTAAGCGACGAGAAGCGGGAAAAAGATGAAGAAGGAGAGAGGGAGCAAGTAAAGCGTAAAGCAGAAATTATGGATATTACACTGACAGAACTACATCAAATAAACTTAAATTAACAGAAAAGATGCTTTTGCTTTGGTCGCTCTGATGGTCGGTGAGATCTTTTTCAGCCCCTCGCCTTCTCTCTCACTTGCTTTTTGAAACATCATTCTGTCGAGTATACAGAAGAAGACTATCAAGAATAATTCTTCATTACAAAAAGGCTGATGGTTGGTTGGTCCCGGCTCAGTCTCTTCTTTGTAGTTTACGACTATTCAGTGGTTTTATCTTCATCCCATGACATGAAAGGGATGATGTCAATGATAGGATGAAAGAGAGGGGGCAGAAATAATAATCATTTGTCATTTTGTGTTCTCCTTCAATGTTCATTGCTGCCATTTCTTGTCTTTTACTTCAAACCATGCCAAGCCATGATGTTTGCGTAATTTTATTTTAGCACATGTCCCTCAAACTCCCATCGTCTTTTCGTTTACTTGACGATGAATATCCATAAATATAATTTTCTTTTACATCATGAAGCAATGGTAGAATAAATTTTTCCGCTTTTCCCTCATCAAATAAATCCTGTCTTTACGGATGCTTCGTCTTTGCGTCTTTCTTGTTGTCGTTGTTCGGATGGCGTTGCGGCTCGATGGAGGGTTTTGAGCAAGATGATGTTCGCACAAATAGCGAAAAGCGAGATGGAGTGGCATGAGAAAGACTGTTTAAGCATCGAAGTGAAAATACAAAAACCCATTAATATATTCTAATTGCTGCGAGTGTGACAGCTTTGGTGATAAAGCAGCAAATTTATGGCTGTCAATTCAGCTGGAAACGAAGATGCTTTCTACGCTTGTCGTGTGTTTACTCCTTAAATACTCATCTGAGGCTTCCATTAAGCGTGATTAGATCGCTTTGATGCGTTGGAAGAATGTTGAAAACATTTGATGAGATTTTCTCTTTTTTTTTTCCTTTTGATATAAATCTGCTTTACCGACAACTGCTGCATTTAAATGCATTAAAATTTTTATTCAATGCAATATCACCAACAGTTGCTACATAAAGCGATTATACTTCTAAGTGTTGTTTACTCTTATTGGCGCCGAAAATTAATGAACTGCTAGTAATTCACAGCACATGTTTCAGCTCTAAATCGTAGCCATCAGTCGCCACTTTCTGATTAATCTTTTCCACAAAACGATATGAATCAATGGAAAATATCAAAACAAATCGTGCTTCTAGATTGAATAAATTATATTCTAATGCTGATGGAATAATTTCAAACAAATCTTTGTGGTATTTGGCGTCTTCGTTTGGATGAAATGTTTTGTTTACGTTTATATTCCCATCAAAAGATTATTTTTGTGTGAAGAATTCTTTTGCTTTGCTTTCCTTTCCATTCTTAATGAAAGAACCACTCTGGAAAGATTAAGATTTCTTCCAAAGAGTTGCAACTTAGATTCTTAATGATGCAAGATGTTAGTTTATATAAAATTTAAATGCCAATTTATGGATCTAAATGGATCGATTCGTTTTCTTTCGTCGGATAAACATAATTTAATTAAAATGTGTGAGTATTTGAAAGCCTTTAAGTGATTGAATAAATGACGTTTTCGATTCAAAAAAGAGTTTTCTGAAGATATCAACAGTTTAGTGGCAATCGAATTGAGTTAATTAACTTCATCTAATGCAAATCTTTATTATTAATTCAAAGGAAAACTTTGCATTTAATAAATTAAGAATATCTTATCACAATATCAATATAAGTACAATGTTGTACATCTTTCTCGTACTTAAATATTCCCATTCAATTACAGTTTATAAGATATAAAAGAATTGCGCAAATATCGAAGAATAAACTTCAAATATTTATTTAAAAACGTCATGATTTTCAATCAGAAAAATATTAAAAGCAATTAATTTCATTTACAAGTAAAAAATCTACACAGATTCCATTAAGAATTCATATCAAGATTTATTTAAGACATAGACAAGAGAAGCCTTCCCACAACTTCAGTTGTAAATATTTGAACGCACGAGCGCTTCATCCAATTACGATCGTAATTATGTTCCACTTTAAATGAGCCAAAAAAATGATTAAAACAGTTTTTCGTATAAATGTTGATTTAATGAAAACAAAACAAAGCAGTGAGAAATCAAAGGAAAAAGAACGCGCTATAAAAATTCAAAACAGCGTGTAAACGGGGCGAGCGGTGAAATAAAAGGTGTGCGGGTTAATAATAAATGAAGGCAAAAAAAAAGCGAGAGAAAAACTTTGTTTCAACTGACGACAAATTTATCTTTTTTCCCTTTCCCAATACAGCTCGAAATCTCTTACTTCTCTTCTGATTCTGACTTACAGCAAAGCTTATAGTGTTTGCTTTAGCTTTAAGCGAAGCGTTGAGTAGAAATTAATTAGCCAATATGTTTGCGCTCAAATAACATCAAGGCAAATCTTCCATAAAACTCATTTGCGAAATGAATAATTAAAGCGATAAGAAGTTTAAAAACTGATAATTAGACTTTTAAATAATTTTTCCCGTCTTCTCTTTGAGCTTCTCCCGGCTTCATGAAATTTTTATTGACTGTATCCGAAATTGATTGTTGAAGTAAAGTGGATTTTGGTGTGCCTGGTCTTCTTCAATCGCTCGTTTTACGACCTGATAACGGTCTCCACGATGTATCTCTGAAGAACTGCATCGCAGCGCCACATAAATAAAAATATTTATTATCTCAGGCATGGGAGGGAAGCGCGAGAAAGGCTTAAGAGCTCGAACAACGCAACAGAAGCGGAAAAAAGTTCGTGACTTATTCAATTAACTTCGATGCATCTTACACAAATTGTTGAGAGCAATGTAATGCTTTGCATCTGTCGGTGGAAGGTAAAACATAAACAGAAAAAAAAGTTATCGACTCATGGCGATAACAAAATTTATTTATTTTTAATATGAAACGATGAATTCTCTTACTCGTATCAAGCATCATCATCATCATACAACATTAAAAATCCCACCGGAATTTCATGTTATGTTGTAGATGCCAAAAAAACTTACTCTTTATGTATGAATACCCTCGAAGGATATTTGAAGAGAAAATGTTGTTATTCACTCGTTTTCAGATAATGTCGAGCATACCGAAAAATAATAAATTCTCTTTCGTAAAAATCCTTCTCCACTTTTTTGATGAATGGCCAAAGTTGTCTGGTCTTTCTCTCCGACGTAACAAAAGTTGTACTTTGAACATGAAGTTGCATGATATATTATCAAATATAACACAGATGGACATTGGTTATAATAAATGGTTAATAGAGTTTATGAAACTTCCACTATATTTATAGACGACGTTTTATATTTGAAGGCATTAAATTTTATCCAGCTTTACAATTAATTTTCCATATTACAGTTTCTACACTACTAAGTCGTCGATAAGATGTCTGATTTTTCGGTTTCTCAAAGATCAGAATGTAAACTGTAAAGAGAAAGACATAATCAAGAAAGATTCTTACAGCAGTGAGTCATAAAAAAGGATCGAATGATTTGTAGTTTGAATATTCCATCATAATTAATGACTGAAGTTAACAACTTCTTTTCTGATTTATTGTCGATAGGGCAAAAAACAATTTTATATAGAAGTTCGTTTTAATTGATGTGAATTTTCCTACCCAACTAATGAAATTCTATGTTTTGTAATTAAAGTAACACGTAGTCAGGAAAACTGCTCGTAAATTTAATTGATTTAAAAGTCATCAATTTATTAAGTAGATAGTTGTTCCGTCTCAAGACAAACTTTTACGAACATTCAATTAATTTTTTTATTTCTGACTTGATGTTCGTCATCACAGTGGTTAAAAATCTGTTGCGACTGGGGCAAAAAAATCATAAAATTCTAGCGCTTTAATACTTTTTTCTTTCTTTTCATGTCTCGACTGACTTTGAAGCAATAAAAAATGTTATTTTTTTCTCTCTTTCAGAATGAAAATGTCTCCTTTTTATGTGAGAATAAAAAGACTGACACTAGATGTTGTGATTTGAAACGTTTGTTGTGACTAACATAGTTAAATTAGCTATTTAAAACAAAATAAAATGAAGATAAATTTTAGTGTCCATAATTTTAAGTATTATGAACAAATAGACATATTAAAAAGATTTAGCAAGATGTTTAACACTACATAAGCATAAAAATGTTTTATTTCGGGTTGTTTACTATTGCCACCGATTTCGCTTCCAGCCACCTATTATTAAGTCATTAAAAATCATTTTGATGCTTGTTATGCTTCTTAAACAGTGATTTTCAGCAAAGTATTGAGGTATTAGCTTGCTGGTTGAAAATGCGAAAGAGTGGAAAAGAAGAAATCTCTAAGATGAAAAATGTTTTCGTATAGAGAAGAAACTTAACGAGGTGATAATTACTGACAACATAATAGAGTAATCAATCATGATGAAACGTTGTGTTTATACAACTCCCAAAGCAGTTAGGTAGCTAAGATCGTTCCGTTGTTTTTATAGCAAAACAAAATATGAAATAAAACCATATTGTGTCACATTAAAAGATTTTTTTCAGATGTTTCAAATTCGCAAGTTGGATTTGCGTAGAAAGAGAATTTAACGGTTCTTTTTGAATGTTTTCATAGTTCAAAAAGGTTCAATTTCAAAGCTGAGATGGTTTAGAACTAAAACGAAATTTAGTACACGACTCCATGAAGGAACAACTCCAATAAAAATAGCTTAAATTCCATTATAATTTAACCTTCACAATTCTTTTCATATTTGCAACACAAACTACAATAATAAAGACGTAACTTTTACCTTATAATGGAAAATTAAAATATAAAACTTAAAATAAATTCTCTCTTTAGATCATGTCGAGCGTTGGTTCAAAGAAAAATAAGAAAAGAAACGCGTTTTGGACATTTGCACAGCGTTTTATGCGAGAAAACAACATTACTGACATTGAAACAGGAACACAAGAAGCGGGTTTAATATGGCAGGTAATTAAAGGGTTGATATTTTTGCGTCTTCTTTTAAAGTAGACAAAATCTCGTCCAACAGAATTTGAGTGAAACGGAACGTCAAGACTATAGAAATAAACTCAAGCGTCAAGAAAGAGGAAGTATTCCCAATTTAAATAGCTTTCAAGAAGTCATCAATGATAAAGAATCACAAAAAAGTCACGAAAAACAAAAACATGAAGCAATGTTGCTTGTCATTGATGAAATTCTAACCAAAACTGAGGAAAGCGGATGTGAGTTTGTTATGTAACACAATAATTCTCACTTATAATCATCATTTCATATTCACAGTATTGAAAAATTACACGTTTTACTTCTTCAACTCATCCTATTTTGTTCAAACTTCGAGTGGTGAAGTTTTCCTCGCTGAAATTGCAATGTCAAAATATAATTTAATTGAAGGCATTTACGACTCATTCAACACCATTATTAATCCTGGTCCTTTGTCAGTGGGCATGGCTGGCGAAGCAATAATACATGCTGCAAGTACTCACAAAATTGCAATGCCATCTCCTGATCAAAACATCTCAAATTATAAAGAAATTCTCGATCAAATTTTGAAATTTCTTGAAGTAGATGAAGGGAAAACGATTCCTTTAATTTTTGCTTTATCAGGATCTGAAAACATTCTTTTACAACAAGGAATGTCAGCTTTAAAAACAATCACTGAGAAGGCTGATTCTAAGTTGAAATTTCGTTTGATTCCTGTTGAATATTTGCTGTTCAAGTTGTATCAGAAATGTAAAGAAACAGCCAACATTGATAACCCACTTGAGTTGCCATTAATCTCAGCGAAAGCTGTAATAATCAATGATTTTTATCAATTTTACGATCTTGGTTGTGAATATCACAAATCAATCGACTTGAGTTTAGAATGCTGCTTATCAAAAGTTTTCCGCATGGGATTCACAATCTCAAAATATTGCTTAAATGACAATGATTCTAAACGACGTGGTTGTCACTTTCCCCATACAATGCTGACGGAAATTTTGGATGATCCTCAAAGCTTGAATTCTGATGAATGGAGCGAAATAGAAATTTCTTTTCAGTCCCTTCAAAAACATTCAAATAATTTTATTCCTTCAAACACTTTGCCGAAACTTGTTCATGCTCCTTGTTCATTCATTGATTCTGCTGGTAAAAAACTTTCATCAATTCAGGATCAAGAAATAGTTGAGGAAGTGCAACAATCTGAAATTGAATCTCCTAAATTATCTGAAAATAAGGAAAATGATGATTCACAAGTTGAGAATTCAAATGCTTCAAGATCTGTTCGCAATTTTTTCACTGGTGGAACTCGTGGACGTGGAAGATTCGTCATGTAAAACAAACTTTTTTCTTTATTATTCTCATAATTCATTATTTTTGTGTGATAAAACATCAGTTGATATGAAATAAAATTTGACTTCTTCTATAAACATTTAAATATTTTTAATTGCATAAGAAAACAATTTCAAATTCAACAATAATTCATCAATTTGTCAAGCTTCAACATTAAAATGAGAAAACTATTAAATCGCAAATATGCAAATTGTAAAAGGAATCGATTCTCCATTCCGCCAAACATAAACAAACAAACACATTGAAAGCGTTCTCGTGTTTAAATGTCTTTCAGTTTCATCTCCCTTTCATTCATCCTTCACAACTTCGTTCATGACAAGCACAAAACTGTAACATGAAACTTCCCTTTTCGCTCTCTGCGCTTCATTGTGAGAAAAGAAGAAAAGATAAAACAGAAAGAATGAAAGGAAAAATTCCTTCCAATGGTGTGAGTGCTTGACGAGGGATGGATGTGAATGAAAACATTTCGGGTGAAAAACATTTCAATCGTTTTCTTGCCTCTGCTCATTGTCATCAATCAAGACGATGGCAGGGAATTTTAAAAGAAAGGTCTTGCGCATTTCAGCTTCCATCGCGTTGCAGAAACAGTTTCCATGCCGTCCTTCTGTACTTTTTTATTTTATTTTTTTGTTGGATGGAACGAGAAAAATCAATATTTTGAATGATTGTCATAAATTCTTTGGAATTGTCTTGAAATTATCTGAAATGAAATTTCTGTCTTCCATTTCTTCATTGAACGAGAATGTTCAATTTCAAAAAAAAAAGCAAGAAGAGATGAATTGAAACGAACGAGTGTTGGTGAATGAAAAGCAAACAACATGGAGAAGGAAAATCTGTTGGTAAAGCTGAAAATATTGATTTTTATGATTGATTTATAGCATTTCGAATAAGTAGGAAACGGATGGAAAGGAAATTGAGTAAGAAAGTTTCAGTCTTGAAGACATTTTTTCCAGCCTTTCAATTCAAGTTAGTGTCTATGTGTGTTTAGTATTTCATTGTGTAACGGATGAAATTTACTGTTGTTTGCCTGTTGGGAGCAATATAAAGTCACAGAGGGAAGCTGATAGGAGATTTGCTGTGAGTTATGATAGTTATTCAAATATTCCTTCGGATTGAAATGCGCAAAAACTTTTCTCCCTCGTCAAGGCTTTTTCTTTTCTTTCTTTCCATCTTTCTCTCTCATTCAATCCCTCTGCTTCTTTGACAATGTCACGTACGCAAAACATTTACTTCATGAGATATGAGAACGATTAATAAATATATATTTTTCATGTTCAACTAACTGCTTAAGTCTTTTGTAATTTTACTTATTTTACGAATGACTTAGAGAAAGTAGAAGAAATTTTCTTATTTTTATGATGATCAGAATTGAACAGGAAGAAGCTGAAATTGAAAGATTCTTTGGTTCGTGATAGAAGTTTGGATAAAAGAAGAAGAGAGCATTTTGTATCCGCTGGGTTGATTCTGCTTTTTTTCCTTCTCTTACTCACTCTGTACAAGACACTACTCCGGTTGAATGTGATTTATATGTTTTTGGAAGAAACCACAGGCAATTGATTCCACAACAGAATTCTGAATTTATGATTTGATGTTAATCTCATGGAGACATAAGAAGGAAAATATTTCAAATGTTTTCGGTTTTAATTTTGATGGTTTTGAAGCTTTTCATTCATTCTTGTTGGTAAAGTTTGTGCCACTTGATTTAAATGTTTTCGAAAAATTTCCGTTCTTTTTTCAATGATGAGTCGGCGAGAAGAAGAACAACGTTAAGTCATAAAAAGTCCATAAAATGTTTTACGAGCGTTTAAGTTTTTATGTCTTTAACATGTATTTTTTAGGAAGATCATAAAATTATTGGTGAATTGACTTGAAGAATCTTTTCGGCAGCTAAAGTAAACATGTTGTAATTACAGTTATAAGTTATCGTGACTTTAAGAACTCTTCAGACATTAACGCGTCTTAACAAGCCAAAATTGACTTTGCACCAAACAACTATTCCAATATGGATTCCAAATCCACAAGATAAATCATTTTTTGTCCTAAATCTTCCATTCCAAACAATTAAACAAAGTTTCGTTTTGTTTCGTTTCTTCTTGAATGACTGAGAGATCATAAATCAATTGTTTGTTAATATTCGAATATTTTAGATTTGTTCAGATACTGAAAACTTAAATGAAGCCTGTAAATGTGCAGTCTATGAATGAGAGATGAATATTTTCAGTTTCAGCCATCCCTGGCTTATGCCAATTGCCAGAAACTTGTTAACATCATCTCGAAAGAAGAAACGAAACAAAATAAAACTTCGCCGCCACATTCAAATGATTTCATTTCGATGAAAAATAACATTTGATTTATGGCATTTTGAAGTATTTGAATACAATGGAAATAAATTAATAATGACAACAACAAAAAAGTCTTACAAATAAACCGAAAAGCGATTCGTCTCTCTTTGGAAAGGAAAAAGAAGCGTAATCTCTTCTCTAATCTGCAACGAAGCAATATTTCACTTTCAGCTACAAAATGAGCGAGAAAAATGAAGGAAATGTGTTATAATATCATTTAAAGAATTACTTTCAAATCTAACAAAAGAAATACAAATTTTCTTTTTCTTTCCCTCCAAGTCGAGTGAAAAGAAGCACAAACCGATAGCCTCAAACAGTTCTCATTCTCATTTTCATGTTGTCTTTGTCTCATTTCACATAAATCATTCATTAAGAAACAAAATTGAATAGATTCGACTTAACTATAAATCTTTAAAATTTACTGTTTTCTTCATCATCATCTGATGTGAAAAGGAAGGCAAAGTGGAGAAAGCGAGTGAGTGAGAGGGAAAGAGACAAGAAACATCTTTTAATGGAAGCCCATCACACAATCGCACAATAAAACATTTTCTCGATAATTTCATCTTTCTCTGCATGAAATTTATGAAGAAGAATTTCTTCATTCGACTTAGAATCTTTTTATATTTTATTATTATTATTATTCTTTTTAATTCAAATTCAAATGATTTATGTTCCATCTTGGTTTCTGTTCTTCAAGACATTTAATTATCGAGGCAGTTCAACAACACGGTTGATGGTCGAAGTTGTGAGTCAGCGATAAGTAAACCTTGACATCTCAATTTATTTATTCTTCGATTCTCTAATCTTGACATGAAGAATTTTTTTTATTCTTTTCTTTCTCGAGACAAAGATTCGATAAGAATACTTAAAAGAGAAGAAGAAAAGAAGAATTCTGTCGAAGGAATCAGCAAAAATTGATGACGACTTTCATCGCAATGCCAAGACAGAAGAAAAGAAAACGAAAAGATTCCGTGCCATTTGAACTAAGATGGAGCGAAGACGACGAGAACGAGGACAAGCGAAGAGAAACAGAGAACCATATCACTTGACAGATTTATTACTTTGGGTCTGTCAAAGGCACTTTGAATTATTGTACTGCTGGCAATAGATTTGTGTGATCCAACTCACCCTCGTTCGTCTTTCGATTTGATATGGATCACTTGAGTGAAGTGAAAGGAGAGAAAAGAAAAAGGAAAATTCTTTTTCCTTCTTTATGTGCCATTAGATTTTTTTCTTTTTTTTCTGTCTTTTTTTCTATTTTCGATAAAAGAAAGAAAAATTTTAATACCATTTTGGAGTCGCTTCAGAGAATCGTTATTATAAATCATAAAGCAACATAACATGGCACCTTTCAAAACCTCACACCATCAGAAGAATGCCTCTTTGCGACTATTATCCATAAATTCTATAAAAAGGAAGAAAAAAAAATCATCCGCAACAGCGATCAAACAGTGGAAAGGGAAGAAATGTTGGGATTACTGTTTGTTGTAAATAAAAGCCAAGTGAGGCTCCTTCTTTCGTAATTAAGCAAAGAGAAAATTATTGTAAACATTTTTGTTTCTCTAACAACATTGAAAATTTTATGTAAAATGAGAGACAATTTTTGCAAAATAGTCATATATAACAGTAATAAAAGTGAAACAGGCGATGCCTTTAATGGTCGAAATAAATAATAAATCCGAGATTAAACAACTTTTTTCTACATTTTCTGCTGCTTTTCTCTCCAACAGAAGAAGAAACATTAATTTTTTTTTTACTTTTTCTACTTTGCACATTTTACACTGAAAGCAGCATATTTTGTGTGTTTGTGTATAGATATGAGAAAACTGTCATATGATAAATATTTTTGTATTAGCTTTTTATTCTGTAGTCGAGCAAGTAAGAAGGGAAAAATAGTTCGAATTGATTTATTTATTTTGATCCCTTTTTACCGTTCATAATGCGAGCAAAGAAACATTTTTGCTATGTGACAGTTTTATACAATTGCAATTAGCATAATTTATGATTTCAGTCGCGCAATTTAAATGCTTTGAGATTAATTAGTGAAGTAGTTTTGTGTACATAAAGTTTCAAATTTCATGATTCATTTGTAAAAGTTTCCATTTCATCTAACAAAATCCGCTTTGGAATTATGATTGATGGTTAGAAACTCACAACTACCTTCGCCAACTGCGATTAGTAGAAACATTGAAAGGAGGAGTTTGTTCACGTCATGAACATTCCAAGATAATTGACAATTGAATGGAAGAAATCTTGATTAATGACATTCGACAATTTACTTGCTTCGAATCAATGTTTCAACGTTTATTGCTGTTCATAAAATGATGTTTATAAACAATCAATGAAACATTCTGTTATTTGATTGAAGCATTAATTTTAATGTTTTCTCATGAATAATTTTATTATTTTTATTTTTTCCACCTTTTTTCTTGTTTGCTTTAAATAAGAATTTATTCAAAGCAGGTGCAAACTTTGCAGTTGCGAACTTACATTTGCTGTCTAATTGTACAATCTACCATTGCCACAAAATTAGCTGAAACTGTCTTAATCATTTATCAACATCACAAGAATGCTGAAGGCAAATAAAATTATTCATTGGGTGAAAACTTTTATCTGAATGTCGCAATCTGAAAGTTTTGTTAAAAGAAATTTTAAGCATCGTTTATAAAATGCCAGAATATAAGAAAATTTAAATCCAAATTCAAACATAAAAAAAAAAATTTAATCACTTGACAATGTCAATGAAAATCAAAGCCAATAAATAATAAAATCTGAGAAAATGTTTGCGTCTCATTTCACTTTGTAACTGCTTATGCCGTGATTCGTTTCTTATTTGCGGTTTCTGCATTCACTTCAACTTGTCGATTATGTTTATGATATGTTTGCATGTAACTTCCAAAGCTCGTCGTAAATAATTTTCAACTTACCAACATTTCCATTCCACTACAACATCGTGACGTTTTGATATTTGAAAGTATCAATTTGCAACTTAAGAAGTTAAGATCTAAATGATCAGCAACTTGAAGCTTACAATTTTCAAATGTAATTGATACAAATCGAACAGTAGAAAGACTTCTGGCTTTAAGTTTATGCATGAACAATTTCTTACGTAAAATATAAACTGAAATCTGATTTTGACAAGTTTGACGAGAGCCTTGAACTTGTTAATGTGCAAAATTAATTTCCACTTTCAAACTCGACATTTGTGGGCATTGCTTATTAAAAAAGCCTTTGATTAAATTACACTCAAAGCACATAAACAACATCGACACCAAGTTATTTAAAAATACATGAATCGTTCAATCGATGTCGATAAACAAACAAAAACTTGTCTTCAGGCTAATGATCCCTTTTTTGCTGTTGTCGTCGTCGTCGTTACTCTCAATAATATTACATTAAATTCCCCTGCCCGATTCTAGACTGATTATGGAGCCTGAAGAAAATAACTTTAAGCAAATGAATGTATGAACAAGAAGCTGAAGAATTTAATTGGACACATCAGCAACAACAGGAACAGCAGCAGAAGCAGCAGAAGAACAATAAAAAAAAGTCAAAGCAGGAACGAAAATCTTGAAAATTCCTTTGAGTTCGTTCGTTTGTTTTGCCTTTTTTTGTCTCGATTATTATGTGATATTGACTGAAATGTTTTATGCTGCGATATTTATTGCAATTTACTGAACGCTGTGCGCTTATTGTGAAATAATTTCAGCGAAAACAAAGAAAAAAAGTCGTTTAAAAGAAACAGAAAATTTATGTTTGATGTTGGTCCATTATGTTTGCAGCTTGCATACGCTTATTACATCGAACGAGTTGGAATATTATTCTAAAGAACTTCTAAATACATTTCAACAACGACGACGAGAATGAGGCTAAGAAAGGGGGGAAAGAAAGATTTAAGATTTTTGCTGGGTCCGTGATGTCTGATAAAAACAAAAGACTTCGCTTCACTTCTCGGTTATTGGTTCTGATGCTGTCGTTTCTCGTGTGCTTACTGCTGCTTTCTTTGTTTGTCTACTACTTCTCTTTCTTTCTCTTTTTCTCCTCTTTGCTTTTGTTTGTCGTCAGCGACATATTCGATGATCGTTTAAATTCGCATATCGCATTTAAATTGTGTTTCAACGACGTCCTTTTCGGACTTGCTTTGGGTTGTTGACGATTTACAGCATTTTGAACGAAGCAGAAAAAAGCGAATTCAATTCTGTACTTTATTGGCATTTCAAATAAATTATAATAAAGAATCTTTTGTTGTAAAAGGAATGAAGAAGGCAGGCAAGCCGAAATGTGTTCATGATAAACATTTTTTCTGTTTCAATTCATCTGTCAATTTCGTCGAGATTTTTTCGCTTCTCCCTCTGCTTTGTCTTCGTTTTCAGCCTAAAACCATACATCTTGGCACTGCTTTGAGATCGTCGACAAGAGATGGTTAAAGGGAGCACGGAACATGCAACATAAACTTTGGATTTTCGTCGGAATTCTTTCGTTGTTCAATATGCAACTTGACTTGGCTATTCAAGATATTTCAAGACGAGATAAGATTCTTCTCGAGATGTATTGCATGGTTGTTGAGCAGAGATGGAATCAACATGAAAACAAGCATCTTCCGAAGATTTCAAAGTGAACCAAATTTAAAGCAAGCGTTCGTTTCTTAATTACAGAATTTCGGGACTCAATTAAATTTGAGAATCGTTTGCATTCCGTTCCTTCTGATTATCGTTCGTTTGATTTCGGCGGACTTTTGTGAAAAAAAACTTGAGAAAGTTTCCCAAAATCTTTTAATCAGCAAATATTTTGAAACCAAGAAGTCAAAAATGTTAGAAAATCGATAAATCGAAGGTTCAGTTGATGGCAACAAAAGACAAAGAAAGAGATTCATGTGCAAAGCGACAACTTTTAGTTATAATTCATAAAATGTTTAATGGACAACACTGGCATGGAAAATCCTTTCTGGCTCTGTTTCAATTGCTTGTTTTCATGGCTTCTTCTATTGTTGTGTTTCTCGAATCATTTACAGTTCAACCACTGGTGAGTGCTGCTACTGCATCACTTGTTTTGCCTTTGCTTTCCCCAGTATGAGTCGGTTGAGTGTCCAGAAGAAATATCACAAGCAAACGAATGAATCGAAGTCTGATCCAATAACCTCTTTCATTATCCATTCGCCATAAATCTTTCATAGTTTTGAAGGTTTTAAAATTAATGATTTTTCGCTTTCTCTCATTGCTGTTTGCTTTTTCTGTTTGAAAATCTTCCATGTTATTGGTTGTAAGTTCAACATCCAATGGGAAAATCCTTCGAGCACTGGCAGTGCTTGAAATGTACGTTCAAGCAAACTCGGCTCTGACAATGATTGATTACATTTTTGTTGAATTGTAAAGGAACACGAATGAAGTTAAGAGGATTTTGAGAGCTTAGAGGGAAAAAGGGCTGGCTGCTTATGACGAAAAGGATGTGAAGCAGAAACGAAGAACAAAGTTTTATCGGGGAGGGTGATTTGAACATTTCATTTCATTTCAATTCTTTTTAGGTGCAGAGTCGAAAGAAAACGTGATTGATGGACGATAATTATTCATTCTTATTAAAAAAATCGGGTAAAGTAAGAGAAACGAAAGGAATAAGAACCCCGCTGACTCTCTTTCGATCCAAGTCTTCATTTGCCGTCACGATAAAAGCCGAGAAATGGCTGAAAACGTTTCTTGTTAATAACAAAACGAGAGGAATGAAATGATGTTGTAATAAATTGTGCACCTTCCCGAATAACATTTTAATTTATGACTCGACATTGTTACAACGAAATTTTTTTATATTATTTCGTTTTTGAACGATGAGTTTTTCGTTTCATTTTCGACTAATGAAGATATCGCCGACAAAATGGAGCGTGATTAATCAAAAGCGAGTTGCTTCATTCATTTTCTACTTTGACTCAGCTACGATGAGAATTAATCAAAGAAATTCTTACAATTTTATGAAGAGTGAATTCACGAATGATATCGCAACTTGCGAGTCGATGTCGAGACTTGAAAAAACATTAAACGACAAGTCGTAAAAAACATGTCACTTTAAATATCATAATTTGCTGTGTTTATTGACATTGCTTTCTGCAGATTAAGTACGCAATCGTTAAAAAATAATTCTTTAGTGTATTGATTGCAATTGTAGGCATTTAAAGGGAGAGAGAATTTGCTGCTTTTAAGATGCGAACCGTAAATGTTTTCATTCTGTCAACGATGCTTTCGTAACATTTAAAAAACTTCATAAAAAAATGTGTGAAAAGCGTCAAAGAAAGAGTTGTTTGGTCTCTTGTGGTTAATGCATTGATATCTCAGCTCAATGTCAATGGCATCATAAAATATCCTACATTGATTGCATGGAATGCGAGAAGCATAAATAAACAAGTTCACATCCCAGCAAGTCGAATGATGATTAAGATGCAAATGAAGCTTAAATTCTCCCTTTTACCATATTAATTTTGTTGTTCACTCAGCTGTAATTAAAATGCCGTCAAAATTCTGTCAAAATCCCAACTACAGAAAAAAGTTATTTGTGACAATTGCATTTAAACGAACTCAACTCACCCACATCGCATGCAAATACAACAATAGCTTTTCACATGTGACATTTTGTGGTGATTTTGCATTGATATGAAATGAGAGTCTGCAATCAGTCGCAATCGTTGGTCAACATAATTAAATAGCAACCTCGTGCAAAGCATTTTGTTGTCGGGTAAATGCTGATGAATCTAATTTGTTGACTGGCGTATTTTTCAGACTTCAACTTTGTTGCATTTGTGCATTAGCGAACAGACTGAAGTTGCAATTTCGAGTGAAGTTTTAAAGCAAATTTATTGCACATTTTTGATTCATTAAATTTTGCATTTTAACCGTGAGTGAAATTGATATCAAAGTGAGACACATTTGGAGAGTAGATGAAACATTTTAATCCGAGAAGTGGACAAATTATAATGCAGTTGTTATTTATATGGTATGAACGTGACAGTTAATTAACGATATTTATTAAAACAAGCACATCAGAAACATTTTTTAATCTTTCATTTGAAAAGTGATGATTTTCAATCAATGGAATGAAAATCGTTAAAAACTGATGTCTGCTTTTTTATAATCTTGCAGCATATGATGCAGAATTAATCATATAAAATCAATCTGAAATATTAGAATCTTTGAAGCTATCAATCAAGTTTAATTTTATAAAGTTACATATATTACGTAAGCCAACAACCTTTTCTCTCTCCATACAATAGTTTAATATCAGGCTCAATAACCTCGTGTAAAATTTTTTGTCCAACAGCTTCCCATTCCACTCGTGCGGCTTGTTTCTGCGTCTTAATTCCTGGTCTATGAATGAAGAATGCGTTTGAAAGCACGTGATAATTATAATCAAGTAGACACATGATGTAAGCTTGCGTCATTTTATTAGCTTTTCCTTCCCAACTTAATCGCTCATCGAATGTTGGTTCAGCATTTGTACCAATATAAAAAGGTTCCCAAAATCTCTGTTCAACTTTTCTTTTGACAGTAACAAATACTTTGAGTTCTGGGTCATCTTCATTCATCCATTTGGTATCATTTGGAACTTTGTGATAAGACCACATCACTTGCTTATGAAACCAAACAACTTTACCAACATTGAAAAGCTCACGAAGTTGTGATTTATTTTGAGGCAATTCGACACCTTTTTCAATTTCAAACACAGGAAGTACAAAGACACTAAAGGTGAGAAAGTAGTATAGTGATTAAAATTGCAACGAAGGGTACACATTTTTATGATATTTACTTTTTTCCATCAGGATAAGCTTCTGGATTTTGATTGATCATACGAAAGAAATTTTCATTCAATCCAGGGCTGGGATAAAGTTCAATGTCGCTAGCCAGAACAAAATGAGTACCAACAGTTTCTCTTGCAAGATTTCGTCCAACATTAATAGGGTAGACGAGCTCTTTCAAAGCTCTGTAAGTTTCACCATGTTTAAGTTTTAAAAGATGTTCATTTGAAGAACAAGAAAATTCTGATTCCTCAATGTCAAGATTCATGTCTTTAGGCACTAAATCCTTCTCAAGAAAGAAATGAAATGACGCAAAATCTCTCACAAGATCTCGTTGATCATGACAATTCCTAAAATATAAAATTGCATCTAATGTCACATTGAAATCAGATCCGGGAGTATATAAAGCTATGCTTATTGGAGCCTGCCATCTGTGAAAAATTTAAAGCATTTTGAGCTTAACTTTATTAAGTTAAATATGATAAAACTTCGAACCTTTCTAGCAATGGAATAATATTTTCAATGAGAAAAACGACATCACCATGCGTTGTATAAGTTATCGTCGTTTGATAATCAGGTGTTTTCTCAGCTGTTATGATATTCTTAATGAATAGATATTTCTCATGAATAGTTTTAGTTAGAGTGTTGTTGTACCTTTCACATGGACAACTCCTAAAATTAGTAATTTTTTGTACTGTGATGTTTTAATCAATCAAATATTTTATATTTGTTACCTGACGATCATTGTTTGGCGAATATTTGAGAACGAGTTTAAACTGTCTTTCAAACTATTGTTACTTTTGTGAAATACAATAAAAATTATAAAAACAATCCAACATAGAAACATTCTTTTGATACCGATTTTTCTAAGAAACATTTCGACTTTCCTCGTTTCAATAATTTGAGACTTTAGTCTAAAAGACGTTTGATGTTGAGTAATTTTCACACGTTACTGAAATAAATTGAGACAGAGAAAACTTAATTCTCTATCTCTATTCATCAAAGTCTCAAATTTCAATAGCTCACATAAACTTCTAACAACCAGACTTCAGTCCGCACCTTTTTTCCTGGTCCGGACCTCTGAAACGAACCAGAAGTGAACCTTCAATCTGGTCCAGGCGTTTTGAGCGGTCTATAAACTTGATTCGTACCGGGTAAAAGTACCACTCTGCTGTTTTAATGAACCTAAAACGGACCCCAGACCACGTACAGATACTCTGCCAATAAGCCAATAATGAACAATATTTTTAATTTTTTGCATAAGTATTGACATTCTATTTGTACAATTGGTTATTATAACAGATATCAATTCATTGAAATATAGGATCTTTGAAGCTATGAATGAAGTGTTATTTTATAAAGTTGTGATAAAATCCAATCTTGGAACTTATACTTATAGCGTCCCAATATCCAAAAATCAATTTATATTATATGGATCTGTCAAAACAAATATTGTCAATATTATTTTTGTAATCAGCAAAAGAAATAAAGATTAGATCGCTTCAATCTCTTGCGATGATCAGTCTTTCAACCTTTTATTCAAGAACAAAACAGTCTTTTCTCTTTCCATACAATAGTTTCATCTCTGGCTCAATAACTTCGTGTATAATTCTTTTGGCAACAGCTTCACATTCCACTCGTGCGGCTTGTTTATGCGTCTTAATTCCTGGTCTATGAATGAGGAATGCATTTGAAAGCACGTGATAATTATAATCAAGAAGACACATGATGTAAGCTTGTGTCATTTTATCAAATTTCCCTTCCCAGCTCAATCGCTCGTCGAATGTTGGTTCCGCATTTGTACCAATATACATAGGTTCCCAATGTTTATATTCACCTTTTCTTTTGACAGTAACGAACACTTTTAATTCTGGATCATCTTCTTTCATCCATTGGGTTTGGTTTGGAAATTTATGACATTTTTGACATATTTTTTCATGGATCAAAAACATTTTATGATCCTTGAAAAGCTTACGAAGTTGTGATTTATTTTGAGGCAATTCGACACCTTTTTCAATTTCAAACACAGGTAGTATAAAGACACTAAAGAAAGAAGAGAAAGTAATTAAGTGCTTTGAATTGCGATAGGAAATAATTGTATTTACCTTTTTCCATCAGGATAAGCTTCTGGATTTTGATTGATCATACGAAAGAAATTTTCACTCAAACCAGGGCTGGGATAAAGTTCAATGTCACTAGCCAGAACAAAATGAGTACCAACAGTTGCTCTTGCCAAATTTCGTCCAACATTAATTGGGTAGACGAGCTCTTTCAAAGCTCTGTAAGTTTCACCATGTTTAAGATTTAAAAGATGGTCATTTGAGGAGCAAGAAAATTTTGATTCATCAACTTTAAGATTCATGTCTTTAGGCACTAAATCCTTCTCAAGAAAGAAATGAAATGACGCCAAATCTCTCACAAGATCTCGTTGATCATGACAATTCCTAAAATATAAAATTGCATCTAATGTCACATTGAAATCAGATCCGGGAGTATATAAAGCTATGCTTATTGGAGCCTGCCATCTGTGAAAAATTTAAAACATTTTGAGCTTAAATTTATTAAGTTAAATATGATAAAACTTCGAACCTTTCTAGCAATGGAATAATATTTTCAATGAGAAAAACGACATCACCATGCGTTGTATATGTTATCGTCGTTTGATAATCAGGTGTTTTCTCAGCTGTTATGATATTCTTAATGAATAGATATTTTTCATGAATAGTTTTAATTCGTTTCATAGCTTTATCTAGAGTGTTGTTGTAACGTTCGCATGGACAATCGCTAAAATTAGTAACTTTTTTCATTGTGACATTTTAATCAATCAAATATTTTATATTTTTACCTGAATCTGTTGAGTGAAGTTATTTTTTGGCGAATATTTGAAAACGAGTTTAAACTATCTTTCAAACCATTGTTAGTTTTGTGAAATAATATAAATACTATAAAAATAATCCAACATAGAAACACCATTTTAATACCGATTTTTCTAACAAGCATTTCGACTGATTTGTTTCAATAATATGAGACTTAAAACCAAAACGTTTGCTGATGAGCACTTTTCACACGTTATTGAAATAAGTTTAGATAAAGAAAACTTAATACTGTATTCATCAAAGTCTCAAAGTTTGAATAGCTCACATAGAATTCCAAAAACCAGGGCTTCCGTCCGCACCTTTTTCCTGTTCCAAACCTTATTAGCGGTCCGCAAACCTGGTCTGAATCATGTAAACGGACCGCTTCAGTTCGTTTTAAGCGGCCCAGAAACGGATCCCAGACCACAGGCTGATGCCCTGTCAATAAAACAATATTGTTTTTTGCACAAGTATTGATATTTTAATTGTACAATTGGTTTTTATTATATCAACTTCATGTTTTTTTAATTCCTTTATTGAAGAGACAGCAGGAAAAATTTGTGTCAATAATATTTTAACCTACAGAATTTTAATATTCAAACTAAATGTGCGGCCAATTGAGATCATATGAAGACAACAGTCAAACACGATCGTTAGATATTAATTACAAGAAAAGTTAAAAAAAATAAAAAGTCGGCGCAATTCACGATTTTTTTTCAGTTCATTAATTGTTCAGGGATCGTGAGTAGATTAAAAATTTGATAATAATTAATATTAATAAAATCTGGTCCCAACCTTTGAAACGGATCAAAAGCAGACCACCAATGTGGTCCAGACCTCAGCGAATCACAAAACTGATACGGACTTGGCAAGTGGTCTTAAAACGGACCCACATTACGAACCAATGTCCTGTCAATAACCCAATAATGAACAACTTTTTCAATTTTTTCTGCATTAGTATTTTTATTTGTACAATTGGTTATTAATAAAGATAACAATAAGACGTTTTTCTAATACATCGGTTAATTCGATGAGTATTAAAGTGAATAACCGACAGTTTGCCGGTTCATTGATGTATTATTAAAATTTTGAGTTTATTTGAGCAAATCAAAAGAAAAATAAAATATATTACTTAAAGAAATGTTTGCACCATGGCAATGTATTCAAAGTCAAAGTGCTTACTACGACTTTAATTATTTTTGAAATGAAAAATCGCGCTTTTAACTAACCGGTTAACAGCAACAAAACATCGAATAATCGAGCATTCGAAAAACCGTCAATAATAACAGTGACTGGTTATCGGTTACTTTTATCCATTCCAACAATCCAACAACCTTTTCTCTCTCCATACAATAGTTTAAGATCAGGCCTTATGAGTTCCTGTATAGTTTTTCGACCAACAGCTTCCCATTTTACTCGTGTTGCTTGTTTTTTTGTCTTTATTCCTGGTCTATGAATGAGGAATGCATTTGAAAGCACGTGATAATTATAATCAAGTAGACACATGGTGTAAGCTTGTATCATTTTATTAAATTGTCCTTCCCAACTCAATCGCTCGTCAAAAATTGGTTCAGCATTTGTACCAACATAAAAAGGTTCCCAAATTTCCTGTTCACCTTTCCTTTTGACACTTACAAACACTTTCAATTCTGGATCATCTTCTTCCATCCATTGCGTTTGGTTTGGAACTTTATGACATCTTCGACATACCTTTTCATGAAACAAAAACAATTTGTGATCCTTGAAAAGCTTACGAAGTTGTGATTTATTTTGAGGCAATTCGACACCTTTTTCAATTTCAAACACAGGTAGTACAAAGACACTAAAGAAAGAAGAGAAAGTAATTAAGTGCTTTGAATTGCGATAGGAAATAATTGTATTTACCTTTTTCCATCAGGATAAGCTTCTGGATTTTGATTGATCATACGAAAAAAATTTTCACTCAAACCAG